GCCCCCCTCCCACCTGCCCAATTCCCTATTACTGTAGTAACTATGTGTCCACTTAGGTACTGCTCAGTTAATACCAGTTTGCTGGTGAGTATATGTGGTGCTTGTTTTTCCATTCTTAGAAGTTTTTCCATACTTCACTTAGTAGTATGGGTTCCAGCTCTAACCAGGGAAATATAAGATGTGCTATATCACCGTTGTTTCTTAGAGCTGAATAGTACTCCATGGTATACATATACCACATTTTATTAATCCATTCTTGGATTGATGGGCACTTGGGCTGTTTCCACAGCCTTGCTATTATGAATTGTGCTGCTATAACATTCGAGTGCAGGTGTCTTTTTATAGAGTGTCATTGGACTTTTGGGTAGATGCCATAATGGGATTGGTGGATCAAATGGTAGATCCACTTGTATCACTTTAAGGTATCTCCATATTGCTTTCCCAGAGGTTTGAACTAATTTGCAGTCCCACCAGCAGTGTAGGATGTTCCTCTCTCTCCACATCCACGCCAGCATTTATTGTTGGAGACTTTTTGATAAAGCCATTCTCACTGGATTTAAGTGATATCTCATTGTGTTTTGATTTGCATTTCCCTGATGATTAGAGATGTTGAGCATTTTTCATATGTTGTTGGCCATTCTTCTTTCTTCTTTAGAAAAGTTCTGTTCAAGTCCTTTGTCTACTTTTTAATAGGTTTATTGATTTTTTTCTTGGTGATTTTCGTGAGTTTAAATATATTCTAGTTATCAGCCCTTATCAAATGTGTAAGCAAAATTTCTCCCATTCTGTATTTGTCTGTTAACTTTCATGACTGTTTTTTGGCTGTGCAGAAGCTTTTCATTTGATCATGTCCCATTTATTATTTTTGTTGCTGCTGTGATTGCTTTTGGGGACTTCTTCATAAACTCTTTGCCTAGGCTGATGTCTAGGAGAGTGTTTCCAACATTTTCCTCTATAATTCTAATAGTTTCATACTTTAGGTTTAAGTCTGTTATCCGGCGTGAGTTGATTTTTGTGAGCCAGACAAGGCTGCCCACTATCTCCACTTCTATTCAACATAGTGCTGGAAGTCCTGGCTACAGCAATCACATAGGAAAATGGAATTAAAGGTATCCAAATAGGGGCAGAAGAGATCAAATTTTCACTGTTTGCTGATGATATGATATTGTATTTAGAAAACCCCAAAGATTCAACCAAGAAACTCCTGGAACGGATAAATGAATTTAGTAAAGTCTCAGGATACAAATCAATACACAGAATCAGAGGCATTCATATACGTCAACACAACATCTAATTGAGAACCAAATCAAAGACTCAATTCCCTTCACAATAGCAACAAAGAAATTAAAGTACCTAGGAATATACCTAGCCAAGGAGGTAAAAGACCTCTACAGGGAGAACTATGAAACACTGAGGAAGGAAATAGCAGAGGATGTAAACAGATGGAAATCCATACCATGCTCATGGATCGGCAGACTCAACATCATCAAAATGTCTATACTACCCAAACTGATCTACAGATATCAAATACCTATTAAAATCCCATCAGCATTCTTACAGATATAGAAAAATAATTTTACGCTTCGTATGGAGCCAAAGAAGACCCAGAATATCAAAAGCAATTCTAGGCAACAAAAACAAAATGGGAGTTATTAATATGCCAGATATCAAACTATACTACGAAGCTGTAGTAATTAAATCAATCTTGTATTGGCACAAAAATAAGAATATTGACCAGTGGAACAGATGTGAGAATCCTGATATAAAACCATCCTCATATAGCCATCTAATCTTTGACAAAGCAGACAAAAACATATGCTGGGGAAAAGAATCCCTTTACAATAAATGGTGCTGGGAAAACTGGATAGCCACTTGTAGAAGACTAAAGCAGGACCGACACCTTTCACCTCTCACAAATATCTGATTCATTTTGAAGAAGAAAATTGAGATGGGAGCTTATTCTGATTGATTTATTCATTTAAAAATTTAAAATAGACCAAGGAGAAAGTGTAGAAGCAGGAGGTGATCCTTTATGCCAGGGGTCCTCAAACTTTTTTTCACTTTAAAAGGGTGAATTTTATAGTATATAAATTGTATCTAAAGTTAAAAAAAAAAGTCAGTCAAGTGTCCCACACGAGACAGCTCTTATGTCTTTTTTTTTTTTAGTGTATTATGGGGGTACAAGTGGTAAGGTTACATATATTGCCCATGCACCCACCCCTCGAGTCAGAGCTTCAAGTGTGTCCATCCCTCAAACATTGCACATCTCACTCATTATGTTTGTATATACCCATCTCCTCCGCCCCCCTCCCACCTGTGCAACACCCAATAAATGTTATTCCTATATGTCCACTTAGGTGTTGATCTGTTAATACCAATTTCCTGGTGAGTACATGTGGTGCTTGGTTTTCCATTCTTGAGATACTTCACTTAGTAGAATGGGTTCCAGCTCTATCCAGGAATATACAAGAGGCGCTATATCACCATTGTTCCTTAAAGCTGAGTAATACTCCATGATCCTCAAACTTTTTAAACAGGGGGCCAGTTCACTGTCCCTCAGACCGTTGGAGGGTCGTTGGAGAGTGCGGCACACATTCCACACATGTGCACTGTGAGCCTGGGATGAGTTGGCCGCTGAGCAGGACAGGCAGCGGCAGCAAAAGTACTCAGCGGGCCGGATGAATGTCCTTGGTGGGCCGCATGTAGCCTTTGGGCCGTAGTTTGAGGATGCCTGCTATGCTGCTAGTAATAATTCAGTTGGAAGTGGATATTGGATTGGATCAAGGTGGTAGGGGTTAGGTAAGATATGGTTGGATTTTGTATTAGATTAAGGTCTGCTTTATAGAATTTGCTAATGAAATGCATGTGAAGTATGAAAGAGAGAGATTAAGAAAAACTCCAGGCGTCAGGGCCTGATCAGCTGCAATTATGGGGTTGCCATTGACAGAAATGGGGAAGGAAAGAGATGTGTCAAGGAGAAAATTTAGGAGTTTGGTTTTGAACAGGTTGAGATGGTGATTAGACTTCCAAGTGGAATGGAGAGTAAGCAGTTGGATATGTGAACCTGGAGTCCAGGAGAGAGGTCTGAGCTGGAGTTACAGTGGAAAGACAATATTGGGGAATTTTATATTTGTATAATATTTAATGCCAAGGACTGGATGATATGGCCAAAGGAAAGAGTGTACTTAGGAAAAAGAAAAGGTCATAGGTTGGGGCTTTCCATTGCCAGGAGTTTGGGGAGGTAGAGAAGGTAGCAACAGAGGCTGAGATGGAGAAGTCAGGGTCAGCAGAAGAAAGCCAGGAGCATGTGGCATGCTGGCAGAAAGTGTTTCCAGGGTGTGAGTCATCAGCTATGTCAAACGCTGCTGACAGATCGTGTAAGATGCAGACTGAGTAATGTCCTTTGGATTTAGCAGTGGGGAGCTCATTGTAACATTTTCACTAGTAAATTTGATGGAGAGGAGGGGTGAGAGTCTGACTGGCATGGGTGCAAGAGAGAATAACAAGGGAAGAATTAATAGGGGAGAAGTTAAAGTATGTTTTTTGTGCTGATGAAAATGATTCAGCAGAAAGGGAAAACATGATGTAGCAGGAAAGAGAATTGCTTAATTCCCGAGTCAGTTAGAGATGCTGGGATCTTGTGCACAAATGTGGGATTTAGCATTCACGGGGGCTTGTAAAATTCTTTCCTCAAAACAGAAGAGTTGGAGGATTAGATAAACTCAGCTGAAATTAGGTGGGAAGCTTCAGAGATGGGAGCTTGTGGAAGTTCTCTCCTGATTGCTTCTATTTTCTCAGTAAAAAGGAATCAAGGTAGGAACTTTATGCTCTCAAGGAGTTTAAAATATAGTGAAAGAGACAGGAACATACTAAATCAAGACTGAATATTATTAGCGTTATAACAGATGTACCTGTTGTGTTGAACAAACAGGACTCATGGGATGTTACTATAAAACAACTTTTCTTTTGTCCTCCTTTAAATTTATTCTATGGTTCCAGTATTATCATCCCCTGGATGGAATTTAGGGCCAGTCACCACACTTTTTCCAGGCATTTTCATTAATAACGATCCTCCGATGAGCAATTAATATGTCCAAAGTAATAAGCAAAACTTTAAACTTTATTCAAAGATGAAACCACTCCACTTTACCAGTCCAGGGCCATTGCAAGTTGGCTTCTTTTAATGAGAAAGAGGCCATAATTGGGCTTTTTCCCTTTTCTATTTTCAATCCGTCTCCTCCATTGTTACCATTTTCAACCTTTTAACCTTATAGTGTCTGACATAGGGTGGGGATAGTCTAGAAGATAGAGGAAAGATCAGGAAAGTTATTTTCTTAGTTTGCATCATCATGAGCTGGCATTATGTACTTGGGCCTGTAGGTGTCCAAAGTTGACTTTACCTCTCTTGGGGAACTTGTAGTTTTTTTATGTGTGTGATGCATCCTGTCTGGCTAACTTATTGGCAACTCATAAGGAAAGGAGAAATGGTCTTGTGGCTTCAGCTGAAGCTGAAGCTAAGTTAGTTCCATTTTAGCATTCTATTGCATGATTGAAAATCAACTGTTATTAGTGTGTAGAGGAGAAAGGAGAGAGAGAAAGAGCACGAGAGAGTGAGAGAGCGAGTGCTGAGTTTTATTTAGGAACATAAGGATAAGATAAAGGGGCCTTTGACTTTGAGCTGGGTGATAGAATTTAATAGGACTGATGTTCTTAGTGATTGTCACTCCCAAGTCTTATCTCTCTGAGAAAAAAATCAGCTGAGCAGTTTCCCATGGGTTGCTATGTGCTCTACCATGTAACGTCACTGCCTTGGGTACATGCGACTGAACCAGAGATCAGATGAGGTAACATGAAGGCCACTATCTATGAGGTGGCCTTTTATGAGTTCTCTGCCCAATATAGGTTCTTTATATGGCATGCTAACTATGACAATTGAACTTACTTTCAAAAAATTAAAGTATTAATAGAATAAAATAAAATTAAAATAAGAATTTTCAAAGTATCTCTACAGACAATATGGAGAGAAGAGAAAGAAACGAAACAGAAGTACTGAGTAGAAGCCCTGGGATGAAATAAACCATGAGCAACCTGGTATCATAAAACAGAAGGTGAGTAGAGAGAAGTGTTGGAAGCATCTTATTGAAAGGACTGAAATAATAGATGATTCAGAGTAGCTGAATCATCACAGTCATGACACACTAGACTCTAGAGCCACATTTGTAAAATAACCGTGGGTTTACAGGTGCACACACTCTACCTTATTGATGTCTAAGAGCAGCTGCAGTTAATCACACAGCTGTTTGAGATAATCAATCGCACAGTCAAAGCTGAGGGGTTGGTCTCTCATTCTCCACCCAAATTGGGCTCCCCACCTTTCTGCTCATCCCTGGTAAAGGCATCACCAGCCAGCAGTTTCCCAAGTCTAAACTCAAGGACTTAGTCTTGTTCCTCTTTTTCTCATCTCATGCATCCACTTCATCAGTGTTAACTCTACACCTTCTCAAAGAAAGTTCCTTCTTTTCTTCTTCACTATTCCAACTCTGTTTTAAACCACAATAATTTCTCACCCATAGCATTATAATTGAACTTCTGCATCTTCTCTCACCCATTCCCAATTCATTCTCCATTTAGCGAATGCTTCTTATGAAAATATAAATGAGATTATTTATTTATCTTTAAAAACCCACTAAAGCCTTCCCATTGCACTTAAAAGAAAACCCCCTGTGCTCATCCTCACCACAAAGCGTTGGCCTGTCTTGCTCTGTGACTGCTGTGACCAACCACACTGGCCCACTTTTTGTCTCAAACTTGCCGGGATTGTTTCTGCCACCGGGACTTTGCATCCCCTTTCCCTTATCTGGATTGTTCTTCCTTCTAGTCTTAGCATGGCTGGATCCATCTTGACATTTGGTTTTCAACCTAACTGTCCTCTCCTCACAGATACCTTCATTCTCACCCAATTTTAAGTAATGAGCCTTTCATTGTCTATACCCAATTTAAATTGATGGTGTAGTGTGGCTGATTCTTTCTGGGTGTGGTTTGTTTACTGGATTGTGTGTGTGTGTGTGTGTATGATTTATTTAGCCATTTTTGCTTGGTAATATTAATAGAAGAAGAGCCCTTCTGTATTGGAAGCAATGAGACATAGATTTTAAGTAGAATGCCCCCATTTATAGGTTAGACAACTGTTGTTTTCATTTAGTCTCTAAGTTTTGATTTTTCAACCTAGCAGAAAATTTGTCTTTGGAATTTCTTCTCAAGGGTAATTAGTCTAAAAACAATTTGTCCTAATGACAAACTGACACCAGTTAAGAAAAAAAAAAACAACTTGAGAGATATCTTAAAATGTATGTATATTTTGGTTAAAAAAATCTATCATGACATATATTCAATATCGGCACACTTGCCATTCTCTCCATTAATTTATTTATTGGGTTTATAAAGTGCTTTTTCCTCCACTAACTCAATTTAATTTTATTCAGTTTCGTGACTGTCATAGTTCATATTTGTGTATGTGAAGGTATCAAACCTAGTCAGGTTTGGTTTGGCAAGAGCACAATTCCCTGTTTTCCCTACTGATACAAATATTAATAATGGAGGGTAATGAAGAATTAATATACTTCCAAGCAATCGTGAACTCATATTCAAAGACCTTTACATTCTAATTGATTAATGGTTCTAAACAGCAATGTCCCAAAGTGTATTTGAATTATAAACTTAAAAGTATTTAGGCCTCTCATTTTCAGTTTTTTCTTTTACCTGTCTCTTAAACTGCTTATAAAAATGAATGTCGCTGGGCGCGGTGGCTCACGCCTGTAATCCTAGCTCTCTGGGAGGCCGAGGCAGGCGGATTGCTCAAGGTCAGGAGTTCAAAACCAGCCGGAGCAAGAGCGAGACCCTGTCTCTAGTATAAATAGAAAGAAATTAATTGGCCAACTAATATATATAGAAAAAATTAGCTGGGCATGGTGGCGCATGCCTGTAGTCCCAGCTACTCGGGAGGCTGAGGCAGAAGGATCGCTTGAGCCCAGGAGTTTGAGGTTGCTGTGAGCTAGGCTGATGCCACGGCACTCACTCTAGCCTGGACAACTAAGCGAGACTCTGTCTCAAAAAAACAAACAAACAAACAAACAAAAAAAAATGAATGTCATAGCTTCATATACTTATTAAAAATCTGCAAAGCAAAATGCAAGATTTACTAGGCTGGCAATTTACTTCTTTTCTGTAGTTAAAAATTATATTTCATATTTTCTAAAGGGAAGTGATGAAAACTCATCACTGATTAGCTGATTTCGTGGCCTAAATAGATGAACCTGTGGCAGTCCATTCCTAGCTCTTCCGTGGCATAAGTTAATAGTGCTGAAACTTTAAAAGTTTCCATTTACGAGTGGGAAGATGAGAAGTGCTGAGAGAGCCAGTGAAAAGGCAGAGGGCTGAGTGAGAATGAGATGGTAGGTAGTGTTTAGGACTTTATAATAGGAAGCAAGTGGCTGGAATCACAGGCTCTGACAGTAGGTGTCAGCAGATCACTCTGAGGCCAGAAAGGTCCCAAGCCCTCAGAAGCCATAGGTTAAGATCACCCAAGTCACTCTGCAGCAGAGACCAGAGAGAGAACCCTGGTGGTAATTGTGGGTCACTGGTTACTAGTGAAAGTTGTTTCTCAGAAAACATTTCAGAATTTATGAAAGTGTGGCCTCCATGTTTGGAGAGATGGTGGTGGGGTCGAGGGGATATCCAAATGCCATGTATCTCTATGAGGGAAAATATTTGGATTCTATTTTTCAAATGTTTCTCTGAACTCTCAGTTATTTGGGGGTACTTCCCTTCTAGGAGCTGAGGACATAGTCCTGAGTGAGAAATGGTCCCTGCTGTCATGTAAACACCAAGTCAACTGAACTTGGAGAGAACAGTGCAATGACAGAAACATGGACACCCACAAACCCCACCTTGCTCTAGCCCTGGCCTTACCATTTACCCTCAGATTTTCAAGCACACCTGCTGCAATAAGGTATGCAAGTGAAAATCTATATTGTATATAACAGAGCACTGACTTATTATATTTTTACATAGATTGAAATTTATATTGCTTATAATAAGATAGTGATTTATGCTACATACTGTTAAAGTGTCAATTCTAGGGTCCTTTATCCTAGAGTAATGGAATGTTTTGGTAAAAAACATTTTAACACAGAACAGTAAACTGAAAGAAATGACCATAGTAGATGGCAGTTTACTAATCTGCTTTTCTCTTTGCCTTAGTATTTTGCTACTTCTTAATATTGTCCAGAAGAGAAAAAAAAGGGGAGGAAAGTACTTTATTTGCTACTAGGGGATTTAAGTAATAAGATTGGAGAGTTACTAACCAGAGTGACCATATAATTTATCAAACAAACCAATTCCCCTTGGAAACAAAAGGGGGTGCTGCTAAAAATCATACAGTTTTAAACTGGGTCTCTTTGATAACACAGGGATTAATCTTACCCTCTGGTCTTCAGGTTACTTTTATGGAAATAATCAGTACACAAACATGAGTCACTTTAAAATAGAAGAGTGAATGATGGTCTTTAAAATATTGCCCAGGGCCTTACATTCACACAGCCTGCCCAACCTAATGTCTACATTTAATATGTCAATTGAAATTTTTGTGGGAGGGAATTTGAAATTACTATGGGCAATGCAATTTTGAAACTAATTATGGATTTTAAATATCCACACTCCGCAAGTCCTCCTTTCACTAAATAAATTATGTTGGCTGTTGAAGGAAGGAAGGAAAAAAGGGAAAGAGGGAGGGAAGAAGGAAGAAAAATGGAAGATAGTAATGAGTCAGGAATGTAACAAAAGAATTCAAGTATTTTCAAATGTCTCAGGCAGAAAGCATACTACATTTGGCTAAATTCAGAGACTATGTTTTCTCATGGTGAGACAAAAATCACTGTGTTAACAGCTCAGATATCCCTAGTCTCTCAGCAAAGCATAAAATGGTGCCTTTTGCTTTCCAGACGAGGGAAGCCTCCAACTATTTAGTTCTAAGCCAGTAGAGGGCAATGGAGTACTGGAAAGAAAACTAAATCTTTAACAAAGAACATTCTCTCACCCACTGCACGCCTCCTCAACCCCATAAGCCACTCACTGTTAAAAGAGAAAGGAAAGATAGAAGGCATAGAGAAAATCTGGATGGAAGAAAATATACTATAATTCAAAAAGACACATTTCTTTTCAGTATTGAAGGGAAGGCAAAAGGGAAAGATTGTTTCAACATACTCTGAAATTGAATTGAAACTGCAATTCTCGAATTTTGCAGAATGAATTATAGGGACTGAAAGAATTTATTTTAGCTGATAATTATAAGGAATTTCCCCCTGTTTTTGCAAATGCTCAATTGTACAAGATACATTTCTGAAAGTCTAAGAAAATGTCTGAGAAAATATAAATAAATAGTGAAATGGGTTGCAATCACAGATATGCAATCAAACAGCTCCTATCTTTGGAACTGTTTCTTCTGGTACTTTTTGTTATTAATAAGAGTCTAGGTTATGGGATTCTGATAATTGAATCATCTTTTTTTTCTCCTTTTTTCCTTTTCCTCCAATGAGCAGTTTAAAGACCCTAAGTTGAGCAGTCACTGATGGCAACTGAGTTTCTATTGTTTTAAGTGATTTTATTTTAATTCATCACATAAAATAAGATGAGGCTATATAGCTTCATAAAAATGCTTTATTTCCTTTTTTTGAGGTACAAGACATTTTTGTAACTGATATGCTATATCATCATTAAAATTTAGAAATTTCTCAGTTTCTAAATGTATTTTTAGCATCACAATGTGTGTTTTTTTAGTACTGCATATGTTTGAGAAAACTATCAAGATGGCATTTTGTTATGGCTTAGAAAGGAATTTGGTGAAAAGGCTTGTACTGTTGGGGGAAATAGCAGCTTCCATCTTTAGCATTTAAACTATTTATATGTTTGCACTTTTAATTCCACCATTACTTAAAAATTAAGGCACTGCTGGGCATTATTGAAAAAATATGTTAGAAGATTTTTCTAGAATGTTTCCAATTTAAGAAGCAGAAAGAATAGAAAGGAATGTGACTATATGTGTTCCTTACCTTAAGTAATAGCTGTATTCTTCAAAAGATATCTGTCAATTGATTTTTTTCGAAGTGGAGCCATATTTTTTATTGACTCAGATGAAAATTTTAAAGATGCTTTATCTTTATTATTTGTCAGTGATTTCTGACATTTAGCTTGGAGGTTTCTCTGCCCAGCGAGTAAACAATCTAAAAACAGTCCCGTGCACCAGTTACTATTTAAAAAGAACTCTGTAGAAAATTACTTTCAAAGTAAAGAATCATTTGGCAATATAAAAAAAATCTTAATTTATCTTTTTGTAAAATGTGGCTTTCCTTCTTAGTTTTCTGGAAATATTTTCTACTTCTTTTTTGTGCTATTCAGTCAAGGATCATACTGACTGAACAAATCTTAACTATTACTGCATATGAATAGGAGTCTTAATTACAAAAAGCCATACAATACTCTCATTCCCTTTCTAAAGAATATTTAAGAGCTATGTTTTCTAAGAGTTCATTTATAATTTTCTGAATAGTATCCTAGCTCTCTTCTGTTTAGTTGGGGGAAATCTCTTAGAGGAAAATATTTCTTGGGCTATCTCTTCAATGACTGTCAGCTGGATTCTATTGTATTTTCTCCAATAAGTAGAAAACTTATTGGTGAAATAATTTTGCCAGGAGAGCAAAGGCTGTTGTATAATACTACCAAGGAATTTGGGGTTTAGAAGAGTAACCATCAAAGTGAATGCATTTGTTTTAAATTTCTAAAATAGAAACTAGTTCCTGAAAAAAATGAAGGAGGAAGACAGAATTTCAAGACTGTTGGGTAAAACAGAAGTGTTTGAGGTTTAGTAATTCTAATTACTTCTTGTCCCCAATAATTTGGAATTTATGAATGCTTGATAAGACAATGGAATTGAAATGCATAAAAGAATCTAATGGTCAAGTCATATTTATATTCCAACAAAATTGCCTTAAATATATAGCTTCTATAATTTTGAAATGTCAATCTGGTTTTTTGAAAACTAAAACTAAAATTGTATTAATGTAAAATTCTAGCATATAGCAATCAGCTCATGTATACTATTAATGTATTCAGATCAAAGGGTCAGGTATTGAATAAATTCATCATAGTATTAAAGCTGAGATGATTATATTCCAGAAGTCTTTTTGTTCCCTTTAGCCCAGGTGGCCTCACAGGTGTGTGAGTGAGTGTGTGTATTGAAGGTGCAGCTCCCCACCAAATTAGCTTAGAGAAAGGTGAGTTATAATGTATCTATTTATGTGACAGGTCATCAGTCCAATATTTTTACCACTATCAATATTATTTCTACTAGTAAAAATCATATTGACTCATAAGATACAATATTGCATTTATAGAATTCAAAGTTTTAATTATGCTTCTTTCTTTATACTGAAGGGCTACAAACATTTTGCTATGTTTATATTATGCAAGAGTTTCAGTTTAGTTGGGAGCATGTAATACATGCAAGCTCAGAGAAAAGGCAAGGCAGTAGAAATACTCATTACATCTATTGAACCAGGAATTGTTCTAAGTGCTTTAATAAGGGATGACTTCTTTTACCACCTCTACTTCCATGAGGCACTGACATCATCCTCATTTTAGAAATGAGGAAACTGAGAAATAGATTATTTAAATGATCCAAAGCAACACAGTTAATTAGTAAAGAAGCTATAAGTCAAATCTAGATCCTGTGGCCCCAGAGCTTAAACACTTAGCCACAGCACCAGTACCTGTTCTTGTGTAATTAATGCCAGAAGGAGTGGTACTGACATAAACAATTCATATTACCTTCCTTTCATGCCCACTTCTCTGCCCATACTTTAATTGGCATTTTAAGATTGCTTGATGTTTATGTTTATTTTCATTGAATCTAATGCAAAAATTCTGAGGTTTCTCACATTTATCCATTTTAATAAGAAGCTTATATTGCCTCACATTTTGACTAGATTGATTACAAACACAATTTTTATTATACTTTATAAAAAAAATGGAGGAAAATTTTTTAGCTTTTACTGACTGAAAAATACTAAAGCAAAACATATTATTTCTGTCCACCCATTAATCAAAAAGAAAGGTAAAGCTTGACCTCTTTTGATTATTTAAGTCACTGACTGTCTTATGATAACATAATAGTGGACTTTTTCATTACTTAATCAAATTTTGTGGATCTCAAAGGTCAACATGATGAAATCAGTCATTGAAAAACTTCCATCAACAGTCCAAAGTATTATTTAGTATAGTTATTTGGTAAAGTTATATAAAAGAAAATTTTGGTATAGTTTTTTGTTAGCGTATATTGATTTTACATGCCAAACTTGTGTAGTAATTGTCAGTGTACCTTTGCTTTATATGAATAATTGGATAAAAAATTGGATTAGTATAAACATTTGAAAGTCAGTACATAAAACCAGTAAGATTTATTTTTTATTTTGTATGTGAATTATTTCACATAAAATCAAGTGTTTGACAAGCATTTTTTCTTATAAATAATTTTCGTTTCTCAAAAACCTACAGTTTTTTTAAATTTTCTTATTTATTTTTTTGGCTGTTTGAAAGCTCAGAGACATATTTGCATTGCAACTATAAAAACTGTATAGCTGTTACAATATTTTGCTTTCACCTGTTGTCTCTCCTGGCCTTCTTCTGTTATTTTATTTGGGATGTCTGTTGATCTAATGCTTTTTTTCTGTAACAGGTATATTTTCCAAGCTTCATCAGATGGTGATACAGTTAGAGTATAAGTGATGGTAAGTACAACACTAAGCCCAACCCACTGGGTTTTTTGTTTTGTATTTTAATCTACAAAGCATTCAAGCTCACATGGGGACTTAAAAGTAGGGGAGGACACAAACCTTCAGGTGATGCAAAACAAAATCTGTTCATTTTTTTTTTTTAACTCTCAGAGCCTCCTGATATCATAGGCCATGGAGGAGTCACAGTTATGAAATCTGATTGCTTCCTGAGTATTTTAATCATCAAGGTTTGCAGCAGAGAAAGGAGGAATAGATGGGCCTCAAAGTCTGATATTTTTCAAGGAGATTCATCTACCTCTTAAGAATGTCTCTCCAACCCCAGAACTCCTTCTACTATTTCTATTAGGAAAACAAAGTCTTAACTTCCAAGTTAGGATTTACCTTCCGTTGCTAACCTTGGAGACTCTAAGTGTGATTTTATGAAGGTTTTCAATTGTCATTTAACCATTTCCAGCGAATCCGAGTGCCAGGCAACACATGGCACAGATGCCTCAGTGGTGCCATTTGCCATTGGCAAGCTTTACGATGACATGTCCTGCATGCGGCACCTACACCACCACTGTGTCCTGTCCAATTCATTGCTTTGCCAGGTGCTGAGACCAAGCCTTTGTAAAAGTTCTGTCCAATGGAAACTGTTCCAATGGAACCTGCTGACATGACCCATCATCATGGCACTACTATTTATTTAGTCTTCTCTTTTCCTATTTCCCTGTAATTTAAATATTTAATAACATATTCATTGAGCTTATATTATTATTATATGCCAGATAGTGCCATCTTTAGTGACTTACTGTCACTGTTCCATTAAAATTGTGAATAGCATATACACACACACACACGCACACAGAGTCCTCCTTGTCTTTATAGAGCATATATTGAAGAAAGGAGGCACAAAATTTAGCAGATAAATAACTAAGGTAATCATCAGTTTTGAAAAGTGCTAGGAAAGAAACATACGGGTGAAGTAGTAGAGAATAACTGTAAGGCTGGGGGCTAGGCAGGTAATCCAGGAAGGTTTCTACAAGGGTTTAGTAAGCACATCCAACCTCAAAAGCTACCTAATGTACATTTTTCTATTTTAGCATTATTTGTTGTCATAATTGCTCTCAAATCAATTCAAAATGTATCTGAAAGTAGAGGGATAGAAATAAAAAAAAATAGCAGAATTTGCTAGCTAACAAATTAGTGATATAGATATAAATGAGTATGAGATTTGGGACTATAAAAGGAAACATAATTTATAAACGAGTTTCCACTGCGGTGTACATGATCTCAATTATATGACCAGCAGGTGTTTGGTATTAAAATCCTGCAAATCCTTTATCTAGGGTGTTTTCTCATAGTAAAGTGTCTGGGGTTTCATTGATCTGTATGAAGAGAAAGGAATTGAACTAAACTGTAAAATGTTGCAAGGGGGAATTAGTGCAAGCTTATTCCAAATTCCAATAAATATGCCTTGAACAACGTTAATATTTAAGATGAAAAACACATATTGAATGTGCTTTAGGATCATTAAGCAGGGAAAACGCTGGATTTCCATTGCTGTAGTACAGTGATTTACCAGCCTTCCTCATGCTCAATTAGAAGTTTCTAGAGCACAGAAGTTATCAAATCTCCCACAGAGGCTGAAAGGAGAGCAAAGAACACAGAGTCAAACTCCCACAATGTTTGGCTAAGTCATTAATTTTAACTGCATTGCAATCGGAGATCTGTTATAAAAAGACTGAAGAAGTCAGAGAAGCAGTAAAATGGTATCAACTAGTTAGAAAGTAGGATTCCAATGACACACTGGAGGCTAACTGGAATGAATATAATTGAAGAAGTCTAGGCTACTTTTGGACAAAAGTATCACAGGAGCAGAAAACATAGCTGATATTTTTAGAAGTTTATTAGGTATGATGAACAGTACTGGATAATAAAATAACTAACCTCCTAGGGATTTAACAACATGCATACTTCAATTATGTTGCATTATAAAAAAGAAACAGTTTCCAGTGATGGAATTAGAACTCAAAGACATTATTATTTGCCAAGAAAATATAATTATTTTTATAGGGCAATATCTTTACTTAAAAGAAACTGAAACACTTTCTTAAATAATTATGGAAGGTCTATGAAAGTAGAAGGGAAGTAAGCATGCCTTGAATCCAGTTCATATTTCCTTACATTTCCTTCTCCAAGCCTCTGACTACCAGTTTTTAATCTCCCTTTTACCCAGATACTCAAAAGTCATATTTATATCTGGAAAATAGCTTATTTATAATCATGATTTAAAAATTTGCAATTCACTGTAAGACAAAGCCTTGCAAATGGAATAGGAAAAACAACAAAAAGGAGTGCTCTTACTAGTATTTGCATAAAGAAATGGATAAAATAATAATTTATAATATTTGATTGATAGAAATAAAGAGAAGAGTATATTATCCACTTGGTATCCAGCTGAGCGTATTTCCTAAGAGGTTAACGTAACCACACAGCAAGATTGATCATGGGTAAAAAGATAAACTAAGTAAAAGTTTCTTCATATTAGTTACCTATTGCTGCATACAAAATCACCAGCTACCACTCATTGGTTAAAAACAACATGGATGTATCATCTCATAGTTTCTCAGGGTTAGTAATCTGGGCCTGGGTTAGCTGAGTCCTCTGCTTCAGAGTCTCTCCCGAGCCTATGATCAGGTGTTAGACATTGTTGAAGTCATCTCTGAAGGCTCAACTGGGGACAAATTCATTTTCAACTTACTTCCATGGTTGTTGGTAGGATTTAGTTTCTTGAGGATTGTGAGGCTGAGGGGGGTAGTTCTTGATGGCTGTTGGCTGGAGACCACTTTGAGTTCCTTGCTATGTAGGTCTCTCCAACATGGCAACTGGCCTATCAAACCAGTAAGAAAGTTGGCTGGCAAGGCAGAGATTGTTATCTTTTTTTTTTTTATTTCAGCATATTGTGGGGGTACAAATGTTAAGGTTACGTATATTGCCGTTGCCCCCCTCCCCTCTGGAGTCAGAGCTTCAAGCATGTCCATCCCCCAGATGGTGCACATCGCACTCAATATGTATGTATATACCCATCCTCCCATCCCTCCTCCCATCTGCCTGATGCCGGATAAATGTTATGCCTATATGTCCACTTAGCGATAGAGCAGGAACCCATTCTACTAAGTGCAGTATCCCAAGAATGGAAAAATAAGCACTGTATGTACTCTCACCAGCAAATTGGTTTCACTGAGATCACTATCTTATGTGACCTAATCACAGGTATAATATCCTACTATCTTTGCCATATGCTCTTGTTTAGAAGCAAGTCACAGGTCCCACCCAGTCTCACGTGGAGAAGATTACATAGGGGCATAAATGCCAGGAGCTAAAGGGAAGCTTTGGGGGCCATCTTGGAAGCTGCCTGCTATATTCTCCAAATGAATTTTCTACTTTTTATTTCCTGATTTGTTCACATGCTGGGTCCTTATTAGAAATAAAACAAAACAACTGGCCATGTACTTTCCATTAAGAAATAAATAATTCTATTTTGTTTGCTTTAGAAAATATATAGTTTGCTTCATTCTGTAGAGACTTAGGTGATTGAAAATACATGCAGTGGAAAAAACATGGAAAATATAAAGCCAAATAGATTGTCAACATGACATGGAAGAAAAATGGATTATATATTATTCAGCACATAAGATTTCATACAGGTGTTATTGCTGTCATGAGATTTTGGCTTCAATTATCCAAGTTTTAAAGCATCATTTCTTAAGGGAATTGAAATCTTTCCCAGTGCTTATTTTAAAATAATGTGTTTTGTTTTCTTTTATTTTCATGGGACATTATATGAGGCAAACCTAGATGAGTCATTTAAAATTTCTTTATGAATACAGCTATTGGTTCTGATGTGCTATTTTTGATATTGTTTCCTGATGAAACCCAGAGTCTGCATTAACACACAACTTAAGGGGGAATAATGCTGTAAAGGCAAAACTAATAGGTCCAGTTAAGGAACTTTCTCAAAACTCAGTTTGATTCCTGAAAACAATTGGGTCCATGTAGATTCTGAATAGTCCAAAGAACTTCAATATATATTACTTTTGTTAGCTGGGTTTTCATAATATTTTTAGGACTGGGTGGTTAGATGTTTTACTCTCTGGCCTAGGCCTGGTGTAGAGATCTCCAGTATGACAGTTAAGGATGAATTCACTTGCATTAGGTGGTAGAATTGACATTCTTTGAGAAAAGAAGGAAGGTATAACACTATACCTTAATTTGGTTTTCCTAATAGGAGATACCAGGAAAGGCAATGAATCAATCTGTAACAGTGAAACGTTAAGTATGTTAACACATGACTGAGATCTATTATTCTACGACTGTATACAGAAATGAAAGAGGAATTAGGTGACTTCCAGACCATAAAGCCTCTTCCTGAAGGCTTGTTTGAGCACAGAGTTTCCTTTACTTGAGGACTACTTGACTGAATCAACTACTTTCTAATCTATTATATTTGTGGGTCTATAGGCAACAAAGGAAACAAAATGAGAAAGAAAACAGTATTTGCTTCTTAGACACTAAAAATAGCAATAGTAACAGAATAGGAAAACAATTATAGCAGCTAATATTTGAGTCTCATTCCAAAAGTGAAATAAACTTCAATACAGTCAATAAGCATTTTCATCTTCTATTTAGTTTTATTCTTTTGGTTAATATATACTCAAGATAGAAAGGTCAAAATTCTGTCCTCTTCTGAGAGAGTTGAAGATAGAATGACATTATGTGGTTTGTTTTTTTTTTAAATCAATTCCCTTCACAATAGCAACAAAGAAATTAAAGTACCTAGGAATACACTTAACCAAGGAGGTAAAAGACCTCTACGGGGAGAACTATGAAACACTGAGGAAGGAAATAGCAGAGGATGTAAACAGATGGAAATCCATACCATGCTCGTGGATCCGCAGACTCACTCATTAAATGTCTATACTACCCAATGATCTACAGATTCAATGCAATATCTTATTAAAATCCCATCAGCATTCTTCACAGATTAGAAAAAATAATTTTACGCTTCGTATGGAACAAAGAAGACCGAATCAAAAGCAATTCTAGGCAACAAAAACCAATGGGGTTTAATATGCCAGATATCAAACTATACTACAAAGCTGTAGTAATTAAATCAATACTGTGTATTGGCACAAAAATAAGAATATTGACAGTGGAAACAGATTGAGATACCTGATATAAAACCATCCTCATATAGCCATCTAATCTTTGACAAAGCGATAAAAACATAGGTGGGAAAAATCCTTTTCAATAAATGGTGCTGGGAAAACTGGATAGCCACCCGTAGAAGGCTAAAACAGAACCCACACCTTTCACCTCTCACAAAATCAATCACACTGGATACAGACTTAACCTAAGATATGAAACTATTAGAATTCAGAGGAAAAGTTGGAAACACTCTTCTAGACATCAGCCTAGGCAAAGAGTTTATGAAGAAGTCCCCAAAAGCAATCACAGCAGCAACAAAAATAAATAAATGGGACATGATCAAACGAAAAAGCTTCTGCACAGCCAAAGAAACAGTCATGAAAGTAACAAGACCTACAGAATGGGAGAAATTTGCATCCTACGCATCCGATAGGATGATAACAAGAATATACTTAAACTCACGAAATCAAGAAGAAAAATAAATAACCCTATTAAAGAAGTGGGCAAAGGACTTGAACAGAAACTTTCTAAAGAAGACAGAAGAATGGCCACAAACATATGAAAAATGCTCAACATCTCTATGTCAGGGAAATGCAATCAAAACCACAATGAGATATCACTTAACTCCAGTGAGAATGGCTTTTTCAAAAAGTCTAACAATAAAATGCTGGCGTGGATGTGGAGAGAGAGAACCTCCTACACTGCTGGTGGACTGCAAACTAGTTCAACCTCTGTGGAAAGAATATGGAGATACCTTAAAGGATACAAGTGAATCTACCATTTGATCCAGCAATCCATTGCTGGCATCTACCCAAAAGATCCAATGACAAAGATCTACAAAAAAGACACCTGCACTTGAATGTTATAGCAGCACAATTCAATATTGCAAGGCTGTGGAAACAACCCAAGTGCCATCAATCACAGAATGGATTAATAAAATGTGGTATATGTATACCATGGAGTACTGTTCAGCTCTAAGAAACAAGGTGATATAGCACATCTTATATTTTCCTGGTTAGAGCTGGACCATACTCTAAGTTCCCAAGAATGGAAAAAGCACACTATACTCACAGCAAGTGGTATTAACTGAGCAGCACCTAAGTGGAACATAGGTACTACAGTAATAGGGTATTGGGCAGATGGAGGGGAGGTATTACATATATAATGAGTGAGATGTGCACCATCTGAGGGATGGTCATGCTGGAGACTCAGACTTGTGGGGGGAGGGGGGAAAGGGCATTTATTGAAACCTTAAAATCTGTACCCCCATAATATGCCGAAATAAAAAAAAAAGAAAAAAATCAACTAAAGTGAAAGAGAATTTGTGACAGGATATTTAAGGGGGCTAAAATTTGCATGCGCCATTTTTACATTTATTTCAAATTCATGTAGAAGACGGATGGATTTAATTTTATTTATTTATGTTTGTTTTTTGTTTCGGTTAAATTTATATCTTTTTTTTTGTTTTTAAACATATTGACTGGCTCTTCTTCATTTTGTAAGGTGGCAGGTGAAAAAGCTGAAAAGCCAGATACTAAGGAGAGGAAATCAGAAGCCAAGAAGGCTGAAGCCAGTGCAAGGTTAAGAAGGGTAGACTCAAGGCTCAAAAGCCCAAGAAGAGACGTCTCTCTGCACTGATTCCTCGCCAGTGGAATTGGTACATATTCCCGATCTGCTACGTATTCCAGAAAGGCTGTGTAGAAGACGAAGTATGTAACCTCATAATCCAGGATTGAGAAGAAAAAGGAGAAGGTCCTTGCTAAGGTTACAAATCTGTTGGTGGTGACAAGAATGGTGGCAAGAAGGTGTTTTTTCTGAAGCAGCTGAGCAGTGGCTTGCTACTTGTAACTGGACCTCTGGTTTTCAATGGAGTTCTTTGTAGAACATACCAGATATTTGTCATTGCTACCTCCAAAATTGATATTAGCTATGTGAAAATTCCAAATCATCTCACTGATGCTTACTTCAAACAGAAGAAGCTGTGGGAGTCCAGACACCAGGAAGGTGAAATACTAGACCCAGAGAAAGAAATGCAAGATTACAGAGCAGTGCAAGGTTGATCAGAAGGCCAATGATCAGAGCTATTCCTCAGCTCCAAGATGACCTATGATCTGTGCTTGCCCTGCTGTTCTAAATTTCTTACCAAGAACATAATTAAATAATAATTTAATTGGCCATGGTTATTAAAAAAATAAACAAAAGTAAACACATTGTCACCATCATGGATTTTAGTAGCAAATGTTTGCTGAGTATATATGTTAAGAATTCACTTGCAACTACTATAAGCCCTGGAACCCACTATTATTTCAATAAATAGAGACCAGGGGAATCAGGCTATTAATAATTCTTCTTATACATTTATTATATATTACATAACATACATTACACACTCATATATATTAATATATGCATAGTATATATTATATGTAATAAATGTAAAATGAGTTATGAGTTTTTGAATATGGCAATGGGAATTAAATGAAGTAAAGGTCACTGTGGGCTATCGTGGCCAAGGTCTCATTAAATTTCTGAAAAGTTGTCTAGACACAATGCATAGTATAAATGGGCCATTAAAATTACATGGAAAAATAAGAGTAGAGTTGGGAAAAAACAGAATTTATCAGTTCTGTCTCCCTGCCCGGTTTCTCTATAGCCTAAAGTTGTGGGACATTATTACAGTGAGAATTTTAGTTAGATGAATGGCATTATAATATGATGTGGTTTTAAAATTGTTTTTCCATTATTAAGAGCCACTTATAATACTGAGAGGTTTGTCTCTTTGTAAGGGGAAACACATTACTGTTCTGAAACAACATGCATTCTATTTTGCTGTGAATTGAGACTGCAGAAATAGAAAGAAAATAGGGCATTGAGGCTGAATAAGGGGCTGATCATTTATAGCTTGGTTATATTTTGGCTACACTGTTTGGATTTTGGAATAAAGATATATGATTAAAGAAATCTGTTGTGCAGCAGCTTTTATTGACAGAATGAGAATTGATTTCGTGCCTACCGTGCAGTCAAATGATACAGGGATCGATGTTTCTTGATTTTGAGAAGCTTTTATATGGCCTAGGAACCCAAATGCAAACAGAAGAAAGCATATAAAGCACACATAATGGGTTAGTCAAGTGGGAATATTTCTGGCTAATCATGATGGATACAAGGGCATAGTTGATCATCCAAAAGTAAGGAAGGAGGAAACTCAGGAAAGCATCCAAATGGAGCCCTTTGCCACCAAATCACTTAAAGATACACTGACTGCTTACTGTGCTCATTGTGTGGGTCAGGAGAAGCTTCTACTATCATATTCTTAACATAATAACATTAATTTAATATTTGCATAGTACTTTAACTTTCATGAATAACTTTAACATTTGATCTTTCTTGGGTCTCACAGCAATCCTTCAAAGTAGGCATGCATTTTTTATCATCATCAGTTTAAAAATGACATGAATAAGTAATGAGAGTGAAAGTTGAGTGTATTATTTGCAAATGCCTTTCTTTCACAGAGAAATTATATTGTTTTGCTTTATATTTTTTATTTCACAAAATAAATTTGATCACATTTGTTATTTCAAGGAGGTGGGCTAATTTGAAATTACTTTTTGTTTGGCTGTTCCCCAAAGTATATTTTTCTCCCTTATCTAACCTTTGGCTCCTCAGGAGATGTGAAATTGATGCTATTTGACTGAAAGGTGTTGAGTAAGCCTTTGCCACCTCATTAGTTTACAGTCAAATGTGGTTTACTTGGGAGGTAAGTAGCTACTGTCAACACCCTATCAGGATAAGAGAGAATTAAAAGTTACAATGCTGAAGTCATTCTCGACCCAACAGGGAGAATAAAAATAAATGTTCTCATTCTAAATTGCCTCAGGAAAAGGCCCACAGCATTATTAACCTGGTATTATGTTTTCATGCAGTCACCACTATTAAAAACTCAGGTCCCTGAAAAACATAATGCAGTAGCTCATATTGGTTTCTCATAGAAATATTGTCCAATTATATAACTTCAAGATTGGCTCAATATATTGCAATTAATTAAACACTGCTGTTGATATAGAGAGATAAAAAGTTTCAATTTATGAGGACAGAACAAATAATTTCATATGTAGAACCTGATTAAGCAAGAATTAAAAGGAATGTAATATTGTATTCACCTTTATATACTTTTTGAATCTTGTAAATAAAGAGGGAAATCACATATATTTGGGATTATTGTAACAAAATAAGTGATTGACAGTGGGAAGGAAGGAAACAAAAGGAAAGACTAAGGCATATAAGGCATATAAGGATTTAGGTTGGAGTATTTTGAATTCTTACTAAATATTTCAGTAAATTTCTGAGATTATGGATAACATGCACAATTACTTTAAAGGAAAATAAATTTTCCATCTGGGATGAAGTAAAATATCAACAGGCAGGAAATTTTATCATATTTCTAAAAAACCCCATCCTTCGCAATGCTAATTGTTTTATTAGTGCAGGTGAAAGCATATACATGATTTCAGTGATTTGGGGTAGCATTTTTATGTTTTTCTTATTTTATGGGAAATTTGTTTTCACATTTCTATTTCCATTTTTTTTTTTGAGTAGGTAAAACTGTTCCACTTTGCCAATCAGTCTTGGAGATAGTGATAGATATGGCTTTCAATCATGCAAGAAAATACTTCGTTTGCCTACTCACAGTTAGAACCCATTCTGTTTTCTAAATACTTACCCTTGTGAATTTTATTCAGATCCTGTATTGCCAGACAGCCCTTACCTGATCCATGGAGCCTTTTGTTTCTATCAAATTTTCTTTGGATAAATTAATACTTAGCAAGTGGAGTTGAATATTTTAAAATTCAAATTGCAGATTCTGATGCTGATCTCACAGTTACAATGGGAAAGTAATGAGAAAAATAGCCACACTGGTCCTTGTTCCCGTAGCAGAAGGTGAAGGAGAGAAAAGAAGTCTTATAAATATACAGTTCCACCTCACCTCTACCTAGGTGTCATTAAATATTAATGCTGTTTTTTGCTGAGTGTGAATGCCATATAGAAGTCATTACTGAGATTTAATTAAATGACACTATAAATTGAGAAAAAGTATTAATACAGATGTAGGGCTGAATGGTTGGAAATTATCGTGTCAAAGAAGGAAGTTTTCTCTGGTGTTTTAAAATTGCATTGAAAATCGGTGGCAAAAGTACATGTCAAGAACTAAGAGAAGCTGGTGAATGATTTTTGATAATTATCCCAAAGGTGATAAACTTTGGCCCTTGGTATATGTAGCTTGATTTAAAACTAGCTGATTTAATTGCTCAACAGAAGTTGTCTGCTTATTAGGCCTTAACCTTAACGAGGCATCTATGAGCTTCAGCTCTCTGAACTCCCGTGTTTGAAAATCCTCTTCTCAAGCTCACCTTAATGCTGCTCTATGGAAGATGGTATTTGTCAGTAGGGGAGAAGATCCTTGCAGACAGAATAGTACAGTGTGGTTTCAAAACTTTTTAAAAGCTGCCCAATCTGTGACTTGAGTGAAGGCCAAGTTTTCCATAGAAGAAAGGTAATTCAGTATTGGCTTTATCCCAACTTTCCCCCAAGCAAAAACTGCCAATTGAGCTGTTTTGGTTTAAAACAGGATGTCAGGCTAATTTTATCTTTGTTTTTTTTTCTTGTGCTACTTCTTTGTCTAGCTCAGCAATCTGATGTTCCTAATTCTGCATGAGACTGCATTTTAGAGTGAGGAAATGATGGTCTTATCAAAAAGACAAAGGAAAGATAGGAAAAGTCATTCTAATCTAGTTGTCCTTCAATATGTCTTGCCTCTTTTATAGAAATAAAATTTTTGTGAGGGCATATGGCTTTCAAAAACAAAAATTGTATTTTCCTTCTTCCTTTGCCACTAGATGAGTGGGACTGGGCTCTAGCCTTTGGGGTACAAGTGGAAGTGACCTCTGCAGCTTCTAGAAGCATCCTCTTGGAAACAGCTGGTGCACATTTTTTGCCCTTTTATCTCCCCCTTTTCCATACTGTGGTTTGGAACATGGATGTGATGGTCGGAGCTCCATTTGGAGTATGTGATGGCCACACCCTTGAAATGACATAAGAGAACAATAATTAGTTTGTCTCTGAGGATATTTTAGAGCTCCTTTGTCAGAGTTGTAGGCCTACAGAGGATATTGTAGGCTGCCTTGCTTGCCCTGAACCTGTGAAAATCCAGAGGGAGAACTATACTTCTAATCTGTTCAAGCTATGGTATATGAATTTTCTGTTGTTCATAGCTGAAACTAATTTTTTTAAATTGCAAACTACTAATTAAGGGAACACAAATGTTTTTGTTACATGGATACCTTGTATAACGCTTAAGTCAGGGATTTTGGTATGCCTGTCACCTGAATAGTGTTCATTGTACTCACAGGTAAGTTTTTATACCACACCCCTCCTCCCAACCTCCTTCCTCCTTGGTTTCTCATGTTCTTTTCTATTGCTTTGTGCCTATGTGCACCTGTCTATTAGCTCCCGCTTATTAGTGAGAACAAATGGTGCTTGCTTTTTCATTCCCGAGCTATTTCACTTAGGATAATGGTCTCCAGTTCCATCCCAGTTGCTGCAAATGACATTATTTCATTCTTTTTAATGGCTGAATAGTACTCCATGGTATACATATACCACATTTTCTTCTCCACTCTGAAACTAATCTTATACAACTTTAAAACAGTTTTGTTTTTTATTTGTGTGCTCCAATTGATCAGTCATGATTAAATGAAGCATGACATGAGAATTTTTTTTTTTTGGAGATAGAGCCTCACTCTATCACCCAGACTAGAGTGCAGTGGCATGATCATAGCTTACTGCAGCCTTGAATTCCTGGGCTCAAGTGATCCTCCTGTCTCAGTCTCCCAAGTAGCTAGGACCACAGGCAGGTGTCATCATGCCCTGCTAGTTTTTTAAAATTATTAATTTGTAGAGACAGTGTCTTGCTCTGCTGCCTAGGCTGATATCAAACTCCTGGCATTGAGCAATCCTCCTGCCTCAGTCTCCCAAAGTGCTAGGATTAAAGGCATGAGCCACAGTGCCTAGCCCATAATAGACTTTTTATATTAATATAGCAGTTTATTTATTTATTTATTTGTTTTTGAGACAGAGTCTGGCTCTGTTGCCCGGGCTAGAGTGCTATGGCATCAGCCTAGCTCACAGCAACCTCAAACTCCTGGGCTCAAGCAATCCTTCTGCCTCAGCCGGGCTCATATTTTTCTATATATTTTTAGTTGTCCAGATAATTTCTTTCTAATTTTAGTAGAGACAGGGTCTCGCTCTTGCTCAGGCTGGTCTTGAACTCCTGACCTTGAGCGATCCTCCCACCTTGCCCTCCCAGAGTGCTAGGATTACAGGTGTGAGCCACCATGCTTGGCTAATATTGCAGTTTAAAAATTCTGCTTTAAAAACATGGAGCTTCATTAAAAATCCTGCTTTAAAAACATGGAGCTTCAAGGAATGTTCTTGAAATACATCTATTTTCAAAGGCAGATTTGTTTCAATATGACACAAAACTAATTTTTGTGAAGTAATTTAATGCAATTTTAAATGCCTGAGAATGGTTTCTATAAAACTGCTAGCAATAAGAATTTAAATAATACTATTTAATTTAAACATTCTTACTTAATGTTGGAATTTTTATATGTAATTCTAAAATTCCCTGACTTGGATAATGACATTTACATTAGTTTTTTTTTTTTTGCTGGTGAAACAATCAATCATTTATTTATTCAACATACATTTATTTATTTATTTTTTTTTAATTTATTTATTTTTTTTTATTTTGGCATATTATGGGGGTACAGATTTTAAGGTTTCAATAAATGCCCATTTCCCCCCCTCCCCCCAAAAGTCTGAGTCTCCATCATGACCATCCCCCAGATGGTGCACATCTCACTCGTTATGTATGTATATGCCCGCCCCCCTCCCCCCT